TTAGTTTATTTTTGAGTAGATAAGAAGACATTTTTTGACCCTCAAGTTCATTTGACTTGACAATTTTGGCCCATCTGACAAAAAGTTTGGACACCCCTGACATATGGGCTGGAACAGTCAATGCTGTTTTAATATAAAGCGTGCCTCCCCCAAGTGGCCAAAAACAGCAACTGCAAGTTCAGTTGAACAGAAGAATAGAGAAGAAAATTCAGGTGTCACAGCAGCAAGTTAAGGTAAGTGGGACAATGAAAATACACATGGGTAAAAATCATAAAAATAACTATAGGACATTTTAAGCAGTACCATGAAATTCTTGAACTTAATCTTGGTTGCTACCTTAAATAACTGTGCAAAGATCGATATTAAATATTAAACTTTGTGAGTAGAATGAAAATGAGATGCTAAGAGGTAATTTTTGCAAAAGGTACTTTTAATCTGACAAACAAGCCTTATCAAAACAAATATATTTTCTTAATGACTGTATATGTGTGGCAAAATACCAACCTTTTTCCGTTTTTCTTTCTCCAGGGCCCAAAGTAACTCCCCATCGTATCTGGAGGCCATAGCAGCCAAGGTGTAATCAGCCTCAATAGCCGTCACAGACAGTCCAAGTCCAAAGGACAGGAAACGGGTGAGGTGACCCTTTATAAAATGTTGGAAAAGACACAGCATTCAGTTTGCGATCATTTGTATCCCAACTAAACCTTTTGTGTTTCAAAATGCACTACATGTTAAATTGCAAGAGTATTGGTGTAAATTAGGGACTGCAGAATTTTATAGAAAGCATTAAAATGGCACCAAAAGATGGCTAATGCACGCTAACCTGGCCAGATCCCACATCCACCACTCTCCTGCAGCCTGTCTGGTCACACAGTTGTTTAACAAGCTGTGGAGAAAAAAGGAAAACCCAACAACATCTAACATAGAAATGGCAAAATGTTGTAAACCTACAGTCAATAGAAATCCCTGTACCATGCCAAGCTTTCGGATCTCATGCTGTTTCTTGGGTTTGACATGCTTCCTGAATATGTGGCCCAGTAAAGAACTCTGACTCTGGTTTTCCAGGAACTCATCAGGCTTCACCGACGCTGCCACCCCGCCTCGGTCAGGCCTGCACTCTCTGGGAAATGCCAGGGCATGAGCAGTGGCACGGAAAGCCAGGAGGGACAGGGGCCACACCGAAGGATATCTGGAATCACAAAGTCTTTACTTATTATTTACCACACATTTTATGTCTGAATGTTGTGTTTCAGTTACCACTTTCACAAAAAACAAGTGTTTTAAACATAAAAATTATGAAAATATAGTTCAATTAATGTCAAACTTGCCTCATGACTAAAAGACTGAGGATCACCCACATAACAAATGCTGAGGGATCACAGACTACAAGATTTATCAAACCAACCAAAGTTAGAGTATCAAACTCCCAAAAAGGCAACAGCTTAGACTAATACACTTACCTGTATTTGGTGGTAAAAGAACATATTTTAAGAATTTGGATCATTATATTTCTATGCCACTCCCCCATAAAATGAATAAGACACAATAAAAAATGTATTTAGTTTAACCCACAAGTTAATATAATTTCGGAAGTGATTAAGATTTTGAAACATGTATTTAACATCATGTGTGGGTTTTGTAAAGACTGAATATTGGCTGTAATCTAAAAAAAAATAATAATTTTCTGTTTCAAGAGACAACAATGTTTGAACTGGACTTTACAGATAGACATTTACAAATTATTATATTTGTTCTATTTGGAAAAATATCAAGGTGTATTTTATGATATGCATAGCTTGAATTAAAACAGCCTAAAAATGTTCAATATTTTGTCACTCATTTCAGAAAGTGACATTTTTGTATACGTTCATTACACATGGAGTTAAATATTTCAAGTCTTTATGTTATGTAGAAGAATAACCTTTATAGTGAAGCAACAGGAGATTCTTATCAGCTCTGACCTGGCAGACTCTTGTCAGCTCAGACTGACAAAAGTCTGTAGTTTCTGCAATTTTTAAAATTATTATTAGTTTTTTTAGGTCATGTCAGAACTGAGAAGACTATTACTAAGACTACAAATTTTATATTGAACACCACAGGAAAGGTTGAGCCTTTCTAAAAATGCAACATTATGATCAGTACCTCCTATCTTCATAAGAAGTATCCAGCAGTAGTTCTGCAGTTTGTGGATATGAAATATCCTGTAGCACTGCCTGCCAGGTGCTGGGTAAGGTCTGCCACAGATTTTCAGTGAAGAACTCCTGTGAATCAATCAATCAGTTAACAACTGGGGTTCTTTCCTCAATAAAATAAAAGTTTTGAATGTGCAATATTGTGTCCGACTGCTATGTTTAAATACATGTATACACACAATAATAAAAGAGTCGGTCAAACGACTGTACTGAGACAGAAAAGTGGTGAGTCTCCTCGCCAGGTCTCTTTGTTGTTGTGCAGTGAAACTGGCTCTGAACTCCGCATCTTGTGCTGCTGACACTGACAGTTGTTCTGACATGAGTCTCCGTAAGCTAATGCTAACATGCGTTAGCGTCTCAAAGCAGTTTAAATTAAAACTATTTTAAATACCAGAAAGGCTAGCAATTCGTCTTCAAATCAAGCTATAGAAACGGCACAAGATATCGTTTAATACAAGAAATACAGACTGATTTTAAAAACTAGCTAGATACTGTTGCTGAACTTTCCAGCTTACATTGGCGAAGCGTTCATGAACTCCTCGGAATTTCTGGCTTCATTGATTTACAAGCTTTTAAGCCCCCTGCTTTTTTTGTTATGCAACTTACAAATCTAATTATTATTATTATTATTATTATTATTATTATTATTATTATTATTATTATTATTATTATTATTATTGTTGTTGTTGTTGTTGTTGATTAATGATAACAGTGCATTTAATATTTTCTATGAAAACGTGTTAGACAACGAAACCAGAAAAAAATAAAAAATAAAAATAAAACAGTTTTTATCTTTATCTGCTTTGAGAAAACAGTCCGGTTTTTAATGTTCTTATTATTAAGGTTGTTTTGCCTTGTAGTCAATGCATGTAATCAGTCAGTTCCTCATTGAGACCTGTAGTATAAAAAAAATATTACGAAAAACACACCTTAATTATTGTTTTCTTGTTATTATTTCCTTAATGTTTTAAATACTTAAATCTTTCCAGTAATGGGGACGTTGAGGCACAAGTGGAATGCGGACATTGTTTTACTAACTTGAAGGCAGCACGCCCCGGATGTTGATCAGTCGTTGTCACGAAGCAGGAATCCTCTTGTGTGCAAGGCGGGCTGCTGACATTTTAACATGTTTTTATCGCTATGTTTCTAGGTCTTCTTTTAGGGTATGTATTGTTCAAATCATAAAACATTAGAAACAAACTGAAACATGTTTTTTTTACGTTCGGTTATCTTTATTTTCATTAGTTACAATTACTATTAGCCTTTGTGAGCTAACGTTAGCCGTGATAAAACGTTATTAACGAAGCTTTAACACCGTAGAGGAGAGTTGCATTATTTTATAGGCTTGTTTAACATTGTTTTTGTGTCAAAATTCACTTGTATCAAGAATGTCATTTTGTTTTGTTTTTACTCGTAAAAAAGTTTAAAAAGCAACATGAATTTAAATTCGGTGTTCTTCTTCTATAGAATATAAATAAACGTGAATTCAACAACTTTGTATTATGCCCATTGCGAACTGCTAGTGAGTTCAGAGACAGATCTGGTGGTTTGTTTATTCTTTTCTGTTGTGACCTGTAATTAATATGATAACATTTCAATGTATATACACATAATCCATTTAAAAAGACTGCGTTGTCCAGTTTTTATGTAAAAACTGAAAAACAATATTTATTATATCTTCATTATAATTCACATATAGATTATTGCAATTACTTATAGTTTCAAATAATATCTCTATGTTTACTCTCAAGAAAAACCCCCCATCTTATTCTAAAATAGAGAATAAGCAATTAGTAACATTGCTTAGTGGACAGAATAGTATACCATCTGACAGCTCTGATTTTTAAATTACAATAGCATAAAAAGGTAGTTAATTAGCTGGTTGCTAATTTCAAAACTGTAGTTTTGAAAAAGTATTATCTGATTGAGCGGGATAGATTATACTTCTTTAATGTCTATGGCATTAGCCTCTGAGTTTTACATCAAAAAACAATTTTCAAATAAGTTTGCTTTTTTTGTAACCCAACAATACAAAGGGAAATGTTTAGAAATATTTTTTCAACCAGCTTACTGACAGTGTACATCTACAGATGTTGGCGATTCTCGGTAAGGGGCTTTAAAAAATTGTAGTCATTTAATAAGTAAATTGTGGTCAATTATTTTTGTTGGCTTTTAAAGATGGAAATGTCAGTCAGAGTAATTGCACTGTTCTTTTCCTGGTTGGTGTTCAGCTTCTTGGAATCCCCCATTAAACCTGTTCTTTGGCATTTTCAGAGGACTAAGCCAATGTATTTTTGTCTTACAGGGTGGTGCATTTAAACTGTTTTCATCTGTTGCAATTTGGACTTCAAAGAAAAGAGACTTTTTGAGGCCGTGAGCATTAGCAAAATCTTGGATCTATTCGTTGCACAACGAGTAGAGAATTTAAGATTTTAACATGTCTAATATTATGATCCATGTTTCCCCCTCTGTTGATACCCCACAGGGAATTATTCCCACAAAGAACCAGGAGAGCAACAGGAAGAAGAAGAAGAAGCAGTTTTTAAAAAAAATGAAATACCTGAAGGGGAAAGGGTGTTTTAATGATAACTCTCATCAGAGGAGAAACCATGAACACAACCAAGCTTCAAAACAGAATGGACCTTTCACTAGAGCTGCACCATCTCACATGACAACAAAACGCCAAAGTTCACCTCAGTCTAACCCTTCTTCCAGTGGCGTTGACCGTAGTGTTGACCTTAGCTCTGGGCCTTCAACCTCCTCTTTTAACCCTCTATCAATTACTTTCACTGTGACAAATAAAAATAGCCTTACAAAGCCAAACCAACCAGTCAACACCAAAACAACAGCAACATTGTCCTTCGCCTCCAAACCCAGTGCTCATAAGCTCTCCACCCCCATAGGGAACCCCACAAAGTACCTCGCCATTGACTGTGAGATGGTGGGAGCAGGACCCAAAGGCAGCATCAGTCAGCTGGCTCGCTGTAGCATCGTCTCGTACGACGGGGATGTGGTCTATGACAAGTTCATCAAGCCCTCCATGTACGTAACAGACTTCCGCACAAGATGGAGCGGTATTCGTCCCAAAGATCTCTTCAAAGCCACACCATTTGTACAGGCCAGGAAGGAGGTGATGCAAAAATCATTTGTAGCACAATAACGCCAAGTTTTTAGTTTTTTCTTGTTCTCACTATGATTTTGGCACTCAGTATTTATACTTACAAGTCGTTATCATTTCATAGAGAAGTTCCTTTATGTTTACCTGAGTATTAATTCAGAAGTAGACCAGGTCCTGTCTGTTTCTTTACACAGAGTGTACAATCACAATTAGTGAGGGTCCAAATCATTAGATTTAATTTTTCCTACTCAATTGCATGGATATATTTTGCATCATAACTTTCCCAAAGCAGAATGACAGGAATGTGCTGTGACTCTGTAGATCCTAAGGCTGCTCATGGGGAAGATTGTTATTGGCCACGCCATACATAACGACTTCAAGGCTCTTGGTTACACTCATCCTGCTGACTTGACGAGGGACACGTCGAAAATCCCTCTTCTCAACTTGAAGGCTGGTTTCGGGGAGAAAGAGTGCGCCTCACTGAAGAGACTCACCAAAGCCATCTTCAACCGTGACATCCAGGTATGTGAAGTTATGTTGATTTGTACTAATTGGTTCTTTGATTTAAGAAACCACAAGCCCACATCAGTTGTCTTTTGTCCCTTCACCTCCACACTCGTTTCAGCTCTAAAAAATGGTTGCGGTTGGCAGTGTAGTACTTATTTATCTTTTTCAGACTAAATAAATGATTGTGATGCAAATTATGATTTATCTTACAATAAATGCTAAATATATTTTTGGGATTGTTGTTTTTGTTAGAAATGTATTTTTTCAAGTGTTAATAATAATATATCCTTTGCATATGTATGCAGTTATTTAATCAAAAACCCTATTTGTTCATGTTTAGCTTCTTTTTTTTTTTTACCTAAAACACGTCAGGTGATGTCAGGTGATGCTCATGTGTCATGAGAATAATCTGGTTAATCCTCTTCACAGATTTTAGGTTATTTAGTGATAATATGTGATGATCTTAATGCTGTAACAAGCTTCTTATATTCATTATTATCTTTGGAACCTTGAGTTCAAAGCTGTCAGAAGGTTAAATTAGAAGGTTAAATAATTTTTTAATCAAATCTGCCTCTTTTGTCTGCAGACTGGAAAGAAGGGCCACTCTTCTGTGGAAGATGCTAAAGCTACGATGGAGCTTTACAAGGTGGTAGAAGAGGAATGGGAGAGGACTCTCGCCTCCACATCTTGACTCACGTAGTTCTATACTTGAAAGTGCAGAAATAAACCCAGCTCAACCGCCTTTAAATTTAAAGATGTCTTACAATGAAAACCAAGTTTATTCTTTTAGTGAAGAGTTCTGTTTTGGACTCTTGTAGACATAATGTTTCAAGAAGTTTTTCACACCATGGTACCACTAACACAGGCATTCATCCATGAAAAAAGTAAGGTTTCTTGTTGGCTTGCTTTATTACTTAAAGCTGTTGTATAACTGAAAGTTAAAACATGTTTTAGTAGTGGCATTTATGCAAGTGTTAAAACATTTGTAACTATTTTGTAGCGTCAAAATGAGCACAATTAGATATTTTTGTAGTATATTTTTCACACATGTATTAATCATGTGCATGTTTAAACATTTAAATGTTCATGAACTACCTGGAAGAGTAGTTTAAAATATAGTTTTACACCAAAGGAATACCCATAATTTTTACATTTTTATCACAGAACTTTTCATGGATGTGAGCAGTCACCAACTTACTGTGTGTAGCTGTAACATTCTTTCTCAGGGTTAAACTGAGTTTAAATGGTTTTTCTTCCGCAGAAATATCCTTTTCATCACACCTTGTGATGAAAAGATGTGATGAAACATCAACTCCATGTGTATGGTCCTACAAACAAAGAAGATTGATGCCATGTTCTATAATTCAGAAGTTTGAAAGCATATTGGTGCTACTGTCATACTCCACTGGTGGTTTGAAACTTTGGAATTTTGTCTAAAACGCTTAAACATTTTGGTTTTCTGGGACAATACCACATAATCCAGGCATGTTAAGAGTACAGAAGTTGTCCTGCATACTTCTAAGAAATGTCTGCAGCTGCTTTATCGTTGCTGTAGGCTTCTTGTTAGCCTCCTTTTTTCTTCACGGCTGCTCATGAGTTCTTGGGGCGATAAACAATTCTCTGACATCACTGTTGTGCCCCATTGTGCTTGAGGATAACTGCCTTCACTGCATTTCATTTTATATCTGTTGTCTTGGAATTTGCTTTTTATCTTTTTTTATCCTACATCTTTTTTATTTTCTGGTAATATCAAGAAATCATCTACGATGGAGATATATATTGTCAGCTGTGAAATAGAGTTAAATGAGAATTGAAAGGACAGACTTAGCTCTGTTCTTTCGATTCAATGATGATTGCACATTAAACTAGCAGATTTTAAAGAGCTGAACTTTAACATGGTGATCCATCTTTATATTTTGTAATAGCTTATGTTGCACAGGTCGTTGCTTTTAAGGCAGGTGAAGCTAAATTGTTCATATTTTCAGCAATCAGTTGAAGGCTTTACATTGTCTTTTACCATATCCCAAAAGTAATTCACCTACTTTTGCTTGTAAATAATGTTATGGAAAAGAAATATCACAGTGTTTTCTTTGTTGTATTGTTTGCCTTTGTTGTGTTCTGAATTTTAGGGCAAATGGAATCACTAGTTTGTTTTTATTACCTCAGGGAGTGCTTTTAAAGCAAATAAAGGTTTTTCTTTGTGGTGGATAACTCTTCTTGAATAATATTTATGCAAAACTGTTCTTGTCTTTCCATTCGAGGTTAGACAAATATTGACTTTTGTTAATAAAATTCTTTTACTCTGTTTTTAAAGACTGTTTTGTGTTTCAAAGTGGAAGGAGATTAAGTGATTACCTGTAATATTAAGAGCTGGAAACACATGAAAGCATTGCTTCTCTCACTGTGTAATGCTATATTATTGATTTTAAGGAATTTGTTGCCCACTGGGTCATATTGCTATAGTTACACCTTGCCTTTTGATTGTATATACCTTTCCATGCACCTTTCATACAATGCACATATTAGTCACGGCCCAGCGGTAGCTCTATGCTCATAATTCAACACACCGCCAAGCTATGAGGAATTTGTTGGGTTTGCAGATTTCCAGTTGAACTCCACATGCAGTTAGGATTCGTTTGAAGATGACTAAGGCATTTTTGAAAATGCAATAAAATTAAGTAATTTGCTGAAAAACTACATGGCTGACAGCTGAAGAAGACATGTGGAAGTTGCTTGCAGGATGTATCTAAAAATTTGTGTCTTTTTGAGTGGTACTAAAAGATATATCTATTATGTTAAAGTAACAAATTGGATTGTACTGCTCCCTAGTGGCCAAAAAGTAATAAATTATATCAGAAGAAAATTGGGTAGTTCAGTCTAATTGTTTTTACCTTTAAGAACCCGCTTTGCTTTGAACTATTTAGAAAACTTTAAAAATAATAAATACGGTTCGTTATTTAAGCTCACCTCCCGTCATGTTTTAAGGTTTTACAGGCAGAAGGAGGGGGGTGCAGGGGGTCCTGGATCTTTGAACACATTTCTTCCCTCCTCTCCTTTCTCGTTTTGGCGGAGGACCGCCTCGGCTTCTTCAGCGCTGCTGGAGATCCTGACGCAGACAATAAGAGCTGCTGCACCTGCCGGGAGGTTCCTGACACAGGACTGCACAGCCGCATAAAGGAAAACAAAGTTTAGCCGCTAGAAGATGAAGTAAGTCATTTTAATTGTATGCATTTAAGAAAAAGTAATATCCGTGGTCGTTTTTTTTCCACTTTGTTTTGTTTCTTTTTGTAAGTAATAAGCTTGAATTTAACAAATGCCGAATTATCTTTGCATTGTCCTGAGAGCAATAGATCATTTATCGAGATAATTTAATTTGAATTGCAAGATGTATTGATAGATATGACCCGCCGGTGTACATGGTAAAGTAGACCGAAGGGGAGGTACATCTTCACAAATGTATCGTCGAAAGATATATATTTTTTTTCAATTGGGTTTTTCAGTCCAAATAATGAAAGTAATATATACATTATTAAGATATACTGAGAGATATTCTTCTGTTACTTTTGATGATTTTTGTTCAAAACTATATTTTAAAACCATAAATTTAGTTAATCAGAAAATTTAAATGTTCTAGAAGCCACAGGGACGGTTAAAGCATTGACAGGATTGTGAAGCAAAGCCCGTTCAAAAGTTTGGGGGATATTTTCAAGACCTTGATTTCAGCTGGAGTCGGTTTTTCAGGAGCCAGTGCACGCAGATGTATCCAAGCCTTGGGCTGCAACTGACCCATTTCTTGTGCTAGGCAACTCCTGAACTAGGGACCACATTGGAAACATCTTACCTTGGCTAAGGGGACCGATATGCTGGACTACTTCTTGGTGATTCAGATGAAATTAATTTTTTCATTTCACTTGGAAATCAATGTCCCAGAATGAAGAGTAGACTGGCACAGAATCCAAGCCGCTTGAAGTCCAGGGTGAAGTTTCCATTTAGAGGTCCATGTAGTCTGTTAGTGAAGGTCCAAATCCAAAGTCCAGTTCACCTGTCCATAAGAGTTCTTCATTTTTTCTTCTGCTGACAAGCTTTTGAAGATGCTAATTTCAATTTCCAGCTGGACTAGGCAACTTATCACATTGCCAAATGATCCAGTACTTGCTTTAATGATTGTTGTATCACTGTACTGGGTTGACTAGAAAACTAGCCCGACCTAAAGGCCACAGAAAATCCAAGGAGTATTAGAGGAAGATGAGCGACATCAGACCTAAAAATACAGATGAGCTGAAGACTGTCATCAAATCAGCCTGAGCTTCGATGCGATGCTGCACCGATGCAATAATCCATATGAAGGGAGATCCAACCAAGTACTCAGTACAAATGCTGCACAGAACATGGACATACGTTTCAATTGGTCCACCTTTCTGTTAAAAATTATTGTTTTATTGGATAGAATTTTTGATGGCTGTTATCTAAAAATATCTAATCTAAAATAAAATTCAAGGATATGAATGAATATGAGTTTATTATTTTTTTATTTAATTGCTAAAATAAACAGTTTTTAATTATATTACAGTTTCTGTTAATGCAGCTACATATTTACTTGTCCAAAGAAATAATCTCTAAAACTGAACTTTGATCATTCAGAATTCAGAATTCTCTGAAATGTTCATATTTGGCAAAACAATTTACACTCTACAAATTGTTCAGTGGATTTAGTTATTATTTTTGAAAATATAAATCTGTACAGTAGTGACATTTAAATTTTAGGAAGTTCCAATATCTTTTTCTTACAGTTAGTGGCATAAACATAAGATAAAAATCATTGCAATCATAACTGTCACACAGGTATTGTGCAGCAAGATTATTAGCTAATCTATATTTCAAATAATATTTGAAAATATAGCAGTCACAGGACATTTCTTTACTGCAGCTGTTTTGTATTTCAGTGCTATTTTAGCTAGCAGTTAGTTCCATCTAACTTCAGTTTGTAGCTGTTTTCTTTCTTACCACTCCACCTAATCTGCTGATCTTCAATCCACTGGAATAACATTTGTAGGAATGAATCATCCTCAAAGCAGCAGCTGGTTGCCAAATCCAGTTTGCTTCACTCTGGGCTTAGAAAAACCACTATGTTTTTTTCCCCACAAAACTTACACATATTTTTATTGCATGTTTACTGATTTTTGTTTATTATATTTAGTTTTTAAGGTTAAGTGCTCTAATTTATTTATTTTTTTGACCATTTTTTCTGTCATCCCATTAGAATTGTGTTCTGGATCTGGTTGTGTAACCTGTGGACGTGCCACTTCTTTACTGTCACCTCCATAACGCTCAAGCAACAGAATTCCTACAGTATAAGTTCTGCGATGGCTGTTGTTTTCCTCACTGTTTTTGAGTCGACTTATAGCACTCAAACTGAAACCAGCAAGTTGAGTCTTTCCACATTGAGTTTTTGTCAGGGTTTTAAAGTATTTGTCTTGCTGCACAGCGAGTCAGCATCTAGCATCTAATAAGAGCCAAATCATTCCTGTGAACTCAACATCTCTCTCAGCACTCAGTCATGCTGTTCGAAGCCTCTTTTCTTTCTCGCCGTTACCTCTTTTCTCTTTGAGATCTCCCTTGCTTCCAGCCCTCCCCGGCTGCTTCTTGCTTCCTGTCAGATTGTGCTCGTCAGAAGAGGGGGTGTTCAGGTTGCCCCTGGAGATGGGCTTCCATTGAGGTGGTGTGATGTCGGGCTGGTGGGCCAGACTGGAGAGG